ATGCAAGCATCAAAACGTAGTTTAACCCTATTCAGACTGGGGGGGGCTTTTCGAATCCCCCATCCGGCAAAATCGTGATAACTCCTACACCGAAAGAGCTATAACGTTCAAATTTTCTGACTTTTCCTACAATTTATCTAGGAACATTTTGGTATAATTACCATGTCCATGTGATTAATCATGTTGCCATGGCAACCAGTTTCTGACACATAGGTTTTGGAAAATTTAAAAAATGGTGATTTTTTTGTTTTAAGATCGCGTCACTTCCAAAGTCATTTGTTTGGGTAATAAACATTAGTTTGATACTTCTTTTATACATTCTGAGCTTTTTCCCCTTTGAAAGTTGCTTTGAATTATAATTTTAACAAAAAAACGGAAATCCAAGATGGCGGGTCCAAGATGGCGGATCCAAGATGGCAGACAACCATTTCAAATTTTGGCAATTATGACGTCATTAGCACCTTTAAAGTATCAAACACATGTCAAAGTGTGTATTTTATATGCATATATGTTGTATATTATATTAAAGAGATGACTTTACCAATATTATTGATATTTTACGTATCTAAGTGGAAAAATAATAAGAAACATTGAAAAATCGGAATATGATGTCACTATGACGTCATCATTGGGCGTGGCAAGTCAAAACAGGGTGTGGGGCTTCTTTGTACGGAGATGATCATTGTGTGTAAATTTCATGACCCTAGCATTATTGGTTCCAGAGATACAGAGGGGGGGGGGGGTCCGAGGAGCCCCCCCCAGTCACAGATTGACCAAAAAAGCCCAGTCTGAATAGGGTTAAATGACTCTTGCCCATTCTTCACTTCCTTTTCACCGACAGCACGAAGCATGCCTTTTCCAGCCATTTCCTTGTTTTATTATCTGATATTAAATGTAGCTTAAATGCTGTGTTGTTTTTAGCTCTAATAATGAAGTAGTTTTGAAAATAAACGCGACGAAACGTTTTCCTATCAATTTGTGAAACGATCTGTATGAAAACAACGAGGTAACAAATCAAAAAAATAAACCTATTTTTTCCAGCCAGTCAGTATCTGAATAAAATGGTACATAGTGTGAAATAACCTCACAATCGCTATATTTCATTTTAGCGTTTTCTCTTGTAACAACGAGGAACACATAAACAAAAGTGCCAGTATTTGCAGGAATAACATTTCTTGACTTGATGATAAGACTGACATCCATGAAAACCACGTGAATAACCTAGGAAGTAACAAATTTTATATTCCTGTCAACTGTCAGTCACTACATTGATCAGGGGGGATAAGGCTGTTAATCTAGGAAACTACCAAGTCGAAATGTTTAAACTCAGTGAAAACGTTTGGACTGCATCTAATAAAAAAAAAATAAAAAAATAAAAAAGCACAGAGATCGAAATTGGACCTACAGTAGCCCCCAGGCCCTCAACTCCAACATTTTTGGGAGCAAGGGATGGCGCAGTGGTGAGAGCGCTCGCCTCCCACCAATGTGGCCAGGGTTTAAATCCCGGTGTCGACGCCATATGTGGGTTGAGTTTGTTGTTGGTTCTCTCCTTTGCTCCAAGAGGTTTTTCTTCTGGTACTCCGCTAATCATATCTTCTCTCAATCGACTGCTTTGTTGTTTTTGCTTTTCTGTTTTTTAGTATTTTTTATCATGTTTTTCTTTATTTGCCCATTTTTGAATTTGCTTTTTCTTTTCTTTTTTTCTTTTTTTACCCTTTATTTGAAGTAAATAACAAATTTACATTATGATAAAGATTACAGATGGCAGCTTACCTGTTGAACTGTCTCCTTGACCTATAAAGGCAAAGGCAAATGGAACATAAATAATACTGAAATGACAAAATTAGCAAATGTCGACCAGGCAGACTGTCAATTTTTTAACTCAGCTAGTGGATTACCGACAGTCTGATTTGTATCTAGTCTCACCTCTGAATTTGTTTTTTAGGTTCGATAAAGCGACCAGCATTTTTTTTAGGGGATTGAGACTAAAGAAGACGAAAAAAGAAAGTTGTTGATTTGGCCTGTATAGCGCTAAATGGTTTTTTTCAAGAACCTTCCATTGGGGTTAAAAAAAACACGGGGTGTAAATAAAGCAGGCAAATGTAGCATGTGCCAGGTTTGTCCTAGATTTACTCTTAAGTTTTGTTGTTTATATCATTATCATTATCATTATCATTATTATTATTGTTATTGTTATATTTGCGACTTATTTGCAACGAGAAAATTTGTACAAATTCATTTTTTTTTCGTCTGGTGTCAGATGATTTATTTGAGATCGAATTCACTTGCCACTGGTTGTAGGTTGCATGTACATGTAGTTTTAGATTAAGACTAAATGTATTTTAGCTCATTCTTTTGTTATCTACAAGGTACGCGTTAAGATGAGTGGGAAGCGGTTAATGAATTTACTGCTATATAACAGTTTGGCGTTCTCCGTTTTCAGTTTTATAAAACGGGTTCCAATGCATTCACGTTTTTTTTCTCTTTTTTTACTGTTATTAGTTCGTTTTTGTTGTTGTTATTATTATTTTTGTTATTATTATTATTATTATGAGACATTTACCAGCGGGTAAATGCAGTTAATGGAGCATGAAGCCCCAGGGGGATAGGCCGAGAAAGCCTGCCCCGTCTTAGGCTCGGTGATATCTTGAAAGCCTGATTCATTAAATGAAAGCACTCTATTCTTTAAGCAGAAAACAAAAGCTTTTCATGGCTAGAACCTCACTAATTTGTCGCATGTTTGTCATCGTGTATTTTCTTAGCTTCGCAAAGATTGGTCCCTGTTTTCAAAGCCCTATTCAGAGCTATTCATGGCTAGACCTTAATCATGATAAGTTGAGATAGTTTATAGTACAACTGTGCCTATTGGCCGTACTTTGAGACACTGTCTGACTATAAAGCTTTGCCAATGCCACTCCTAGTCATTATTTGGTTAGCTTGCACGAAAGCAATCATTTAAAGTAGTTTTGTTACCCGCCCTCCCTCCCTTTGGAGGAGTTGTTGTTTTGTTATGTCTCAATAAATTTTGGTGGGTCACTCCCTGTGGTGCGGTTAAGTCTGCGTTGCGACTTCCCCCAAGCTTTTGGCATTGCTTGTGTCTTGCCATCTTTTGAGCTATTCCTTTGCCTTAATCTTGTCCGATCCAGCCCGTGCGGCGCTGGGGAGATAAGAAAGGCTCTGCCAAGATTCTTGTCCTACCCCACGGTAGTGGGGCGATAAGTAAGGCTTGTGTTATTTTGTGCGCATAACCCGAAGTCGCTATAACCTGCCACAGGGCTGTGTCCCCCCCTCATTACGCCATCATGTAGTTGTTGTTTATTTAGCCTGCGTGCGTCATTTATTTGCGTGACGTTTGCATGCGTATCTTACAAGCGGAATAGTGACTTTAATGAGACATTTACCAGCGGGTAAATGCAGTTAATGGAGCATGAAGCCCCAGGGGGGTAGGCCGAGAAAGCCTGCCCCGTCTTAGGCTCGGTGATATCTTGAAAGCCTGATTCATTAAATGAAAGCACTCTATTCTTTAAGCAGAAAACAAAAGCTTTTCATGGCTAGAACCTCACTAATTTGTCGCATGTTTGTCATCGTGTATTTTCTTAGCTTCGCAAAGATTGGTCCCTGTTTTCAAAGCCCTATTCAGAGCTATTCATGGCTAGACCTTAATCATGATAAGTTGAGATAGTTTATAGTACAACTGTGCCTATTGGCCGTACTTTGAGACACTGTCTGACTATAAAGCTTTGCCAATGCCACTCCTAGTCATTATTTGGTTAGCTTGCACGAAAGCAATCATTTAAAGTAGTTTTGTTACCCGCCCTCCCTCCCTTTGGAGGAGTTGTTGTTTTGTTATGTCTCAATAAATTTTGGTGGGTCACTCCCTGTGGTGCGGTTAAGTCTGCGTTGCGACTTCCCCCAAGCTTTTGGCATTGCTTGTGTCTTGCCATCTTTTGAGCTATTCCTTTGCCTTAATCTTGTCCGATCCAGCCCGTGCGGCGCTGGGGAGATAAGAAAGGCTCTGCCAAGATTCTTGTCCTACCTCACGGTAGTGGGGCGATAAGTAAGGCTTGTGTTATTTTGTGCGCATAACCCGAAGTCGCTATAACCTGCCACAGAGCTGTGTCCCCCCCTCATTACGCCATCATGTAGTTGTTGTTTATTTAGCCTGCGTGCGTCATTTATTTGCGTGACGTTTGCATGCGTATCTTACAAGCGGAATAGTGACATTAATTATTATTATTATTATTATTATTAGCCGTTAGCTTTTGCAGTGTAACCTCACACCTTTACCCTGTTTTTATTGATCCTCCATTTCTGATTTTGATCTTACTTACATGTTTCGCCGAGTTGTTCAGCATGATATGAATCAATACAGGTGCAATAACGAAGTTTTTTGCCACAGTTTTTGTAGATGAAGCATATGTACTTCTTGTGATTTGAACAGAGTGGTTGAGGACCTAGAAATCAGGAAACATAAATATGTCATTAAGTTTATCACATGAACCATACAGAGGCAAACATGAACCATGAACTATTGAAATATTTGCCTTTCAATCTTAGCCCAATCTAAACTGAGCAATCAATGATTTTCGGACGATTATTTATTATTAGAAGGCAAATACGTTATACTTACAGCTGTATGTTTACTTAAACAATTAGGAGGGAACCGGATAACTTTTAAACCGGCACGAGAAGGTTCTTTAGGTTGTGTTGTGTTTGTTTTATGAAGGTTGGGATACACAATAAGTCAGGATTTAAAGGCATATATCATATTTGAGAGGATTTTTTTCATGATTTTTGTGTCTGTTTATATTGTCTAATGGTTCCAAACTAAAGGGAACGAAGATTCCAGTGATCGATTTGCCTTTGCATAGACCTCTAGACTTTTAGAATTCATTCAATTCTACACGTGATTTCGGCCTCGCGGGAAGGGCAGGGACTGACGTTAATCGTCTCAATCTAAAGGGTCTAAAGGGTAATTTACAAACACACTCACTTGGTGTTGGACAACTCAAAAGGGCGCTACAATTTTCCTTCTGAATGTCAGAACCTAAGCACTTGTTGCCGCTGAAATCTGGCTTCGGGTTATCACACAACCGTTTCCTCTCCCTCGTACCCTGACCGCAAGTCTTGCTGCAAGCGCTCCAAGAGGACCATGAGCCCCACATTCCGTTTACTACGAAAGGAAAAATCAAAGGAACAAAGGAACAAAAAGTGAGTATTTCTGCCTTTTCTTCCGGAAATTAATTTCTCATGCAAGGTAATCAAAGAAAGTCTTGAATTCAATTCTAGGATCCACGCTGTGAATTCCAGTTTCCAAGTACTGAAATTTGGGTTCCTTGTTAGTGGAATATGGGTTCTGGATTATAATTTTCACGGGTTTCTGAATTCCCTAGGCTGAGCTCTGAATTCCAAGCCGTAAGATTCCGTATTCCAGGAAAAAACTTTTTACTGGATTCTGGAATCTGCATGGATACCTTTGCATGAGGTGACATTCAAAGACAATTTAAAAGACTAGAAACTAAAAGAAAATTATAGTTAAATGGGTTAAATTTCAAATATAATCTCGACAAAAAAATATATGGAAGTTTTAGAGGCATTGTGGAAGACAGCACGTACTTGGACAAGCGGGAAGACCGCTACAGTTTTGCGTCTCATGTCCAATACCAGCGCAGAATGTTCCATTAAAAGCTGGTTCTGGATGATTGCACAGACGTGTTCTTTTCCTTGTACCGTGCTCACATGTTTTACTACATTGGCTCCAAGAACCCCATGGGCTCCACATTCCGTCAACTTAATAAAAAAAATAATAATAACATCAATTATAAAAACACGGTTACTGAATTGCTGAAAACTCAATTACTCTTCGCGGTTGACGACAGTTGCTAAAGCATCCACCATTGGTCGAAAACCATAGATATTTAGAATGTTTATTAACACTCACTTGGTGTTGGGCAACTCAAAAGGGCGCTACAATTTTCCTTCTGAATGTCAGAACCTAAGCACTTGTTGCCGCTAAAATCTGGCTTCGGGTTATCACACAACCGTTTCCTCTCCCTCGTACCCTGACCGCACGTCTTGCTGCAAGCGCTCCAAGAGGACCATGAGCCCCACATTCCGTTTACTACGAAAGGAAAAATCAAAGGAACAAAGGAACAAAGGAACAAAAAGTGAGTATTTCTGCCTTTTCTTCCGGAAATTAATTTCTCATGCAAGGTAATCAAAGAAAGTCTTGAATTCAATACTAGGATCCACGCTGTGAATTCCAGTTTCCAAGTACTGAAATTTGGGTTCCTTGTTAGTGGAATATGGGTTCTGGATTATAATTTTCACGGGTTTCTGAATTTCCTAGGCTGAGCTCTGAATTCCAAGCCGTAAGATTCCGTATTCCAGGAAAAAAACTTTTTACTGGATTCTGGAACCTGGATAGTTTTGCATAAAGTGACATTCAAAGACAATTTAAAAGACTAGAAACTAAAAGAAAATTATAGTTAAATGGGTTAAATTTCAAATATAATCTCGACAAAAAAATATATGGAAGTTTTAGAGGCATTGTGGAAGACAGCACGTACTTGGACAAGCGGGAAGACCGCTACAGTTTTGCGTCTCATGTCCAATACCAGCGCAGAATGTTCCATTAAAGGCTGGTTCTGGATGATTGCACAGACGTGTTCTTTTCCTTGTACCGTGCTCACATGTTTTACTACATTGGCTCCAAGAACCCCATGGGCTCCACATTCCGTCAACTGAATATAAAAAAATAACATCAATTATAAAAACGTGGTTATTACTGAATTGCTGAAAACTCAATTACTCTTCGCGGTTGACGACAGTTGCTAAAACATCCACCATTGGTCGAAACCTATAGATATTTACAATGTTCGTTACATTTCAAAATTACTACTTTTCAAATAAATTTATCTTTTTTTATCTCCAACAATTTCATATCATTGGCACCTGGACAACCTTGATAACTGCACAGTCTATCTCTTTGTCTGAATGCACCCTCGCATTCTCTTCCTCCGTTAGCTGGTGCAGGGTTATTGCAATCGCGAGTCCTCTGTTGTTCGCCACCTCCACATGTCCGAGTACAAGTACTCCACAGACTCCATTCACCCCAATTTCCATCTACAGCGGCTAAAGGAAATAATACAACTATTTTAAGAGACATACCAAGCCATACATACCCAATCCTGCGGTAGTTATTAGGGGCATGACAGAATGAGAAATACGTTCTTTCCGATGTGGCTATCCCTGCTGAAAACACACCCCCATAGCGATCTTTAGACAGGAATTGAAGAAAATTTTGTTGGAGAAGACGAAAATGGTATCAAAGCGCTTATTTATCGTACTAAAAGAGGATTTATTACTGGACGAAAAAGTGGATTTTCATACATTTTCTTCTAGAAAATATGTCGCAAAAATGCCAAAATAATTTATTATATAGGTTGGCAAATTTTGTATTTACCATGTTTGCCCCAGATTTACTCCTCAGTTTTTGCAAATTTGAGCAAATCCATTTATCTTTGGTATTATTCGTGCACGTGGCCTTTGGGTAAGAAGTGGCTGCGTAATTTAAAGACAGCTAAATGTCAATAGTTAACGTTGTCTTTGGGATAAATTGATCAGATCATAATACCGCTATCATTCCTATCTTTTTATACTTGCTAGTTTAAGTTTTACCTGAACAGTTTCGCTGATTACATAGTCTATGGAATATATTTGGTCCTGCGCAATCTTTCCCTCCGTGAGAGGGTACAGGATTGTTGCATTCGCGGGTCCTTTGTTGGGCGCCATATCCGCATGTCCGAGTACATGTACTCCACAGACTCCATTCACCCCAATTTCCATCTACAGCGGCTAGAGGAAATAATAAAAAAATTTTAAGAGACATACCCAGCCATACATACCCAACCCTGTGGTAGTTATTAGGGGCATGACAAAATGAAAAATACGTTCTTTTCGATGTGGCTATCCCTGCTGAAAACACACCTCCATAACGATCTAAAGACTGGAATTGAAGAAAGTTTTGTTGGAGAAGACGAAAATGGTATCAAGGCGCTTATTTATCGTACTAAAAGAGGATTTATTACTGGACGAAAAAGTGGATTTTCATACATTTTCTTCTAGAAAATATGTCGTAAAAATGCCAAAATAATTTACTATATAGGTTGGCAAATTTTGAATTTACCATGTCCCAGATTTATTCCTCAGTTTTTGCCAGTTTGAGCAAATCCATTTGTTTGGTGTTATTGGTGAATTACAATTCCTTCCGTTAAAAAACCCTTAGTTTTGATTAGAAAAAAAAGTTCATTTCATTAAACAAAAATTATTCAGATTAAGAACATTTCATTTCGATTAAAACAATTCATTTCGATTAAAAAACAGAAGAAAATATTTTCAAGGTCAATTGCATTCTTACTAAGATAATCACTTAAAAAATATATAATAATAATAATAATAATAGTAATAATAATAATAAAAATAATAATAATAATAATAATAATAATAATAATAATAATAATGATAATGATAACAATAACAAAATTTCAGCCACACCATGGTACCGCAGGGGTTTGTATGGGGAGAGGAGGGTAATATATATAAAGGTGTGACGGGGGAATAGGGCAGACAAGAACTTGGAGTGAGGGTACCTGAAATCACTTCATTTTGCTACTACGTATGACAAAAAAGAAAGGTCTCTTCTTGGCCCAGTCACCGTACAATCTGTTTAAATGCTTTTCATTTTGTTGTTGTTGCTGTTCTTGTTGTTTTAAGAAGATCTTGTTGTACGCGAAAATATGTGAGGTGAGGACCCTTGATATACATTATGCCTTATACCATAAGGCACTTATACCCGGACCCTGGGAAATGAAATCAATTGGAAATAATAATTGCAGTTCTCAGCTTATTGATTAAACTACCGGAGCCGATTTCATACAAGTGGTGTCTGACATATTTTAAAATCTTACAGTTTGAGTGTTTTTTTTTTTGTTTTTTTTTTTCATGGAAGTTAGATAACACCTTTTTTTTCACTCTCATAAATCATTAATGAAATAAATAAAACTCGCGAAGTGGATGGCACCCCCACTAACATACGCAAATGGAGTTAACATACGTAATTGGAGTTATTATTGTCGTTAGTATGGTAATGGAGGTGGGTAAAAGGAATGAGAAACTGCTGCGGATGCTATGAAGTGAAATATTTAGATCAGAGAAAAGGATGAATTTCCGTAGATATTTCAGAGAGTAGTAATATATGAGCATCTTACAGGCAGCATGATTGAAATGATGCAAGAGAAATAAGTCACATTTCCCTTTTTGTTTTAATGCTCCAAACGGGCATCTAGGTTCAAATGTTGTATGTAATACAATTTGAGGCCTAATTGACTTTATTCGCGACCGCTGCGTCTGTGCTCCCCCCCCCCCTCCCCTTCTCGTTTCTGTGTGAGACAATTTGTCTTTAACAGAAAATATGTCTCGCCCAAATCCATACAATGAGACTTCGAGTGGAGAGAAAAGAAGGGAAGAGGAAAGGAGCCCATTCGTCCAAAATTAACCAACAAAATTAACCAAAACAGTTTTCTCGTAGTCAGCAAATAACCTACATCAAAGACTATGAAACAGTTCTTCAGAGAATGTGACTTTAAGAGATTAGATTTTCTGTTTCGAAGTCATTTACTTACAAGAGATTAGAGTAATACATGGCCAAGGCTTCGAAATTTGAAGACTGGTGATTCAGATCCGCACATACAATATAACGAGCGAAATAACAAGGCCATCTTTATCGCTCGCCGACAGTATAAAACAACTGTGATTAACAAATAAATCGCTTTCTCGGTAGTCATAAAAAAGAGGAAACACGTAACTTCTCTGAGTTAGACTTTAAGACTTTAAGACGTTAGACTAAACAGAACCAGTTTTCTTTCAATTACCTTTAGTATTGTTCAATTCATCTTGACAGGAAAATGCGAGGCAACCAGTAAAAAGGATAACACTGAACCAGCCACTCAAATTCATGGTCAAGGAGGCCCTAAACGTGTTATTTTGAATAAAAGTGATGTCTTGAGGGATCTTTTATTGGTACTTTTGACCACTCTAATATCACAAAAGCCGCAATATAAAGCCAATATACTCTTTTGATCATTCCCAAATCACGTCAGCGAAAAAATACATTTCAAGGGACATGTTAAAGTACATTTTCCTTTCCTGGCTTTTAACACTTCGTGTGAAGGCTCTAAAATTAGAGAAAAAGGTAATGATCGGGAAAAATGATCCTTTTGTCTCGTTCACTCCGGTCCTTGAAGTTTGCTAGAATTTTTTTTTTGGCTTTTTCAACGCAAATCGCCCTTTATCTTGCAGTTACAGTGTATTTATTGTTTATTACTTAAAGTCTGTGCAATTTTCAATGCAACAAGAGAAATTCAGTCACACACATATTAAATATTGAATTGGTTTTCCTTTTTGTGGCGTCATGGGATGAAAAAAAAGTGCGTCCCTTCGGCCTCTTAACTGCAGTCGCATATAATGTATATTGCTGTGTCGCTGTTAGTATATTGCCGAAACGTATGCAATTATAACACACAGTATCCATAAGCCACCAATGTCGCCGCAATTAACCTTGCACGTCTTTTAACAGGACTACCCTTTTTTTACGCTGGAAAACGAATGTGCCATTAGTTGATGATTTTAGATTTATAGGAGCAAAGATTCAACACCACTCCATCAAACACTAAGAAGCGTTGAGCAAAATTGATCTTATAATTAAAGCAGGGGAGTGGACGATCGTTTGATATTTTACCATATTTAGTTTTCTTTCCCCCAGTAATTATCCTCACTAACAGGGAAATACTTCTTTGAAAGTGCTGCAATTATCTTCAGGAGTTTTTACACGTTACTCAAGTTACCATAACTTCCTTCTCAAAACTAGAGAGTTCGGGCGTCTTTCACGAAAATAAAGACTATTAGGTGAAAACAAGAGTGTTGCGAAGTGTGCTCCTACGGTGCCATATTTCCCCTTTCATTTTATCCAGCTTAGATGCAGTCGAGTTTTACAGTTTGTGAATGAATATTGGCAAACAGCCACAAGAACTCAAAGTTAGCGGATCTTATATTGAACTGATTATAGTAGCTTTTTAAACTAAACGAATGAATTCATTTCAAAAATATCACATTTCAATATCACTACGGCCCTCTGTTGAGGCAAATTTCAAAGGTTAAAATTGCAACTCCAATAGTCGAAAAAAAAAACCTTAAATGTGACTGATTTATTTATTTGTCTCCTATTTATTTTTCTCCTTATTCGTCTAACATAATAGTTTTTAATGAGAAACAATTTTTATGGCGTTTTATTAAAGGCGTTATCAGAAAACACAAGCCGTTTTGTTTTCTGTTTTGTTCTTTTTTTTCATTTATTATTTATTTGATTTTATTCATTTTATTACGCATAACATTTTGCAAATGAAAAATATATTTCGTTTGATGTCCCATGTAAAACAATATAATGACCGTTCACATACAGTGAATATGAGGCGAGATAATTAGACGCCATAATTAGACGTCATTTTATTTTATTTGACTTTCCTTTTTTTTTTTTATTGTTTAAGTAAATTAAGAAGTTGTTAAGTTGATAGATGTACTGAGGAGTCAGGACATAAGATTGTGATTTAGTGAACGTTTTTATTATTATTATTATTATTATTATTATTATTATTATTATTATTGTTTAAGTAAATGCT